GGCATCGCCGAATAATACTTTACCCGACAGCTTCCTTGCAATTTCCCATATTTGCATTAGATTCGGGTGTTCTTTGTCCATCCCACGATCCCTTATTCCTATGTTTGTTAGACGATAGAGCTTTTATACCCCCACTTACACAGCGTGTTTCTTTTTCGTTTCCCTTTACTTGTCTCTTTTTCGGCATAATTCGATCCACCGTTGGACCTATGCCTCTCCCTCTCTTGCGCTCTTTTCCTTCACATTTCCTAGCTTCGTGAAGCGCTTTCTCTTCCCTACTTCTCCTTGCTCCTCGATGATTCGACTCTCGCTTGATTTTAATGTCTTTTGCATAGAATTCCCCTGTCTCATAGAACTCTGTTTCATATCATATTGCTGGATTGATCAGCAACAAAATACTTGCATGATGAAATTGCATAGACCTATCCACTTTGATAATCCCCGAGAGTTCAGCTTGCTCTATTGCACGATGAACTACCTGTACCACAAAATAACCGGTGGGCTGGCCCACGTGAGCTCCATTGTCATGGCTCTAGGGTGGATCGTTCCTTTTTTTTGGTGATGCGAAAAACTATCTGATAACGTTGAGTGTGAACTAGCGGTATTCTATATGACATGGTAGGATTGTTGCTAAAGACAAAGAATAGTACAATTTAATGTTGATCAATTGAAGGATAAATACAATCGTAGGCCTGACATATTAGATTGGTAGTATATGATTATAATATCAATATCAAAGAGGCCAACGACATGGACTAATATATTGTTGAGGCCTTTGTGCCTAAGGCGAATAACCTCTTCCTCAATCTTCTCTCATCTCTCTCTCCCTCTCAGTCAATTTCCCTCAGTCAACGGCCCAGCTCGATTCATATCCCTTCCCTTTTGACTTCTCTTCGTATATTTATACATTAAAGATTACTCTTGCCTTCACTCAGGCCTTTGGTGAGTTGTGACAAGCCTGTCCATGGGCCCGACTACAACGGTGTTTGGTATCATTCGGAATCCGGCATCGGAGGGATGTCATGAAATCTCACTCTCATTTCCAACCACCCGGCTGGGAGTTGTCAATAATTATCTCAAGACTTCTACCACCTGAGTATCGAAGCGGTGCACACACTCATTCAAGAGTGACATCCTAGTATCGACCGCACGTCTCATCAATGGACAGATCAGCTTCCATGAGTGGTCTACCACGATGTCTGAACCGTCTCACTCTTTAGCGTCCAGGCTCCAATAATATCATATTCATAAGACTGTCATCTTTTATGGGGGTCTCTACCTTTACGATATCATCCCTCTCCAAGGAAATTATCCTCTATATGAGAGATTTTATCTCATAACGGTGACGACTCTGACGTTAGTTTCCTTATATCCTACCATGTTGCCTTGTTCTATCTAACGTTTATACAGTGGTCCATCACACAGTTAGCGACATTATCCAGGGACCAATAATACCACCCGGTCCTTGGCCTGTTTATTCGCATTCAAAAGGCTACAGTAACATCGACACCCCATTTGAATGAGTCTCCTGGAAAAGAGCATCTAAGCGACGAGGCTGTTGATGAGCGAAAGATTTATGCGTTCGCTAGCTCACTGCTAAGAGGAGCTTGCCAATTGCCCACGCTTTATATATATGTTAGCTTCTCGGGAACGAAACTTCCGGAATTGTTGCTGTGGAAATGAGAAGGGAAGAGAAAGCGCTCAATGCAGGGATCTTGACGAAACGCGGACATTCACCCAGGCCTTTGGCAACCTGGGAGTTCGGCTTGCTCTGCCACAAATTGACTAGTTGCAACTACTGGGAAGACTTTCCATTTCCGCAAGATCTCGAATGACTTCAAGGTAGGTTATCCTCAATTCGTGATGGCTATTATCCTATCTAATCTATATCAGTGGTCGTCGGTATATGTTTTGGAATATGTTTGGATGTGCGTTCGTGTAGCATTTCCAGGCCGCTTGGACTTCTCGTTCATATATTCTACCGTGCCGCTATCATATCCCCTGCATACTCGGAGGAGAGCTTATGTCAATCCCACTAGTAAGAGATATCCGGTGATAGCGCCCCCTTTAAGACCGTCGACGAGGATAATAAAATGGAGGACTTGATTGATTAGCTTTTATATCTGGTATCAATTTTGCTCTTTTCCTTTCTCATTTTATGGTACCCTTTTCCATTTGAGCTTTGAAAAGATTATCGATAGCTTACGCTTACGTCTATGGCTTCTGGATACTCACATTATTTATGGTCATCGCCCGTTACTCTATAAAGAGAATAATCCTGAGCATGTAAATCTAAGCAAGATACTAACATCCATTATCCATTAACCATTACCCTAGAGGATATACTGAAAGCAGAGCGAATAGCAACCATTCACCGCTCTAAATGAACGGCTTGGTGCTTCTCATCATCAATATCATGAGAGTCCATAACAGCCTCCTCGTCTTTAATATTCTGACTCTCAAGACCAACATCACTCCCGCCGATCCTATCCACGGTATCAGTATACGACGGAACAAAATTCACAGCAATAGCGTAAGTCCAAGCGACGACCATAAACTGCAACCAGCATTAGCCACCGATCTAACAGCGTAGATACGGAAACGAAAAAAAGAAACCCCCATCCAAGAGCAGAACATACCATAGTCGGAACAATAAACGCGAATCCCGTATTATCATGCATATCAGCAACATGACCCAGAATAGGTGGCACCACAGCACCCCCAGAAACACCAGCAACAATAAACCCAGAGCCGCGCTTATAATGGCGTCCGAGGCCACGGATCCCCAGCGCCATGATCGTCGGAAAACAAACAGACTCAAAGAAGAGCGTCATGAACAGCATAGCGAGACCGACCTGCTTGGTCTGCGTGACCGACGCAGCGAGGAACGCTACCGTGCACGTTAAATATAGCAGGAAGACCCAGCGCGCCCGCACAAATTTCATAATTCCCGAGCCGAGGAATCTGCCGACTGCGAATGCGCCCTGCGCACCGGCGAGATACTTCGCTGCTGTTGCGCTAGATGTACCTGGCCAGGTATCCTTGACGTAGTTGATGAAGTAGCCTGCGATAGCGACTAAGGGAAGAGTTAGCTTGTTGGCATATCAAGAGAGAAGTATAGGATGAAGGGTGGTAGGAAACGCACCCTGCGCGCCTGTATACGTGAACTGCGCTAGTGTCGCATGGAAAAGCTTGTATTGTTTCCAGAAAGGCTTATCATGCACATCCACGTGCGTCTGCGCCACCTGGAAGGCCATGTCCTCGTCGGTGACTTCGGGGATATTGGAGAGGAAGAATACACCGGCGAGCAAGAAGACGAAGACACCGATAGCGAGGTAGACCCATTGCACGCGCTGCAGGGCTGCTACATCGTCCTCTGTCTCGGTGAAGAAGACATAAGAGCCCAGCACGGGGCCGACGACTGTGCCGATTGCATTGAAGGCCTGGGCAAAGTTGATTCTGATCTCAGAGTAGCGGGGCGGACCGCAGACTAGACAGATTCAAAGAGGCATATATTAATGTCTATGCGTAATTATCTGTAGAGCATATGAATGTCTTACCGGTTAGGTAGGGATTAGCCGCTGTCTCAAGAGACCCCAGTCCCGACCCAATGACTAATGTGGCACCACAGAAGCCGCCGAAGGATTGGTTTAAACCTGCGGGCCACATGCACAGGGCTCCGATACCGTATAGGCACAGACCAAAGATGAAGACGGTCTTGTAGCCGTAGTTGCGGAGGATCCAGTTTGCGTAGCCGAGGGAGGCTAGGGGGTATGCGCTGGGTTTTGTTAGAGCGGTATCTTTTTTTATAATACATATGTGTTATCGAGAGATTCCATACCCAAAGTAGGCTGCTTGAAGACCAGCTGAGCGGCCACGGTCGATATGTAGGGTTTTCTGGAAATGTGAGTTGAGGGTGTCCAGCAAACCATACGCAAAGCCCTAATTGAAGTCTTAGTAGGAGGACTAGCTATAAACGAGATACCGTAACATACCCATAAGAAGAACAAGGTCGTGACTAGAGTCAAGGGCCACAGACTCTGTCGTAGAGTCAGAGTAGCAGCAGAAGTAGTCGCGCGATTATCAACACGCAAGCCCGAACGGCTTTTGAGGAATTCCTTGACGCCCATAGTTCTCGGTATATAATAAAGACAAGTAGAATAAAGTTATCGAATGAACTAAAGAGCCAAACGGCCAAATGGGGTATTTAAATAGAAAACGAAACAAGGTGACACCCTGATTTCTCTACAAGTCACCCTTTTCCCCAAGTCCGGGGAAAGCCAGACGATCCCTGGGGAAAGACCAGCAACGTCCAATTACAAGTCAGAACACGGAGTTTCACCGAGGATCGAAGGTCACTTTGATTTTCCCCGCTATACACCCCTGGCGAGGTGGCGTCAGCGTTGCATGGTTGTTTTAACGCTATTCATATTTAGGCTATGCGGGTTATTCTCTCCCGTGTCTGGTGGAAATGCCACACCGAGCTATATTGAGTTAGTCTTGCTTTACTATCATAAATAGTAGTCTAGATGACATCCTAGGGACTATCATGCATCCTCCTATTGGTTCATGAGAGATATAGATGATGATCACTTTGATAGCCGTAGACAAAAGCCGTGTCTATTACAGGATCACATGATCCATATATCATCCATCTCGTTCCAATGTTGGAAAGGGATCTCCAAGCTAGACGAGGGCGTGGAATCAAGGGACAAACAGGGCAAGATCGACTCATCTTCGAATAAAGCTAGTTTATCTACGAAGACACAGTACATATTGTCCTACTGTCCACAAATACAACAATCGCAGGTTGTAATCTTTCATTCGGCTGATCTATGGGCGTCCATGATAGCATGTCATAAGTAATTCACGCACTCTCGTATTCAATGCGTGGCAAATATCTAGCCAATCAGGCAAAATCTATCTCTATTACACACCGGTTAGTTAGCTCCTGCGCAGGCAGATATCTAGGAGGGTAGGGTCCTATTTAGACCCATCCTTTATGCCCGCTTGGGCTTACCGACGGTACCGCTCTGGGCGACCGGGTTGACGGCTTTCGTGTTGTAAAGACGACGCTCGGCCAACTTAAGGACCTCGTCAATCAAGCTGGAATGTGGATTAGTAGGATATTCTTTCAGGATTAAGGAGAATTGACACTTACATCACAGGTGCACTGATCACCAACACTGCCTGCCATTCATTCCAGTCCATGGGCAGAATCGAGAACAGGTTCTGGAGGAAGGGAATGTAGAGGATGGCAAAGTGAAGGAGCATGGACAGAGTGATAGCGTAGATAAGCATGGGGTTGTTGCCCAGGAAGAAAGTCAGGAGGGACTCGCTCGAGGAAAGGGCGTTCATGGCGTTGAGCATCTCAATCACCACGAGGATGGAAAGAGACACGGTGGAGGCAGATTTGCCCATATCGTTGCTGAACATTTCGCAGCCAATCTCGGGGAACTGAGAGGCACACTTGTGGTAATGGGACTGAATTGGCCTGGTTAGCAACACAATTAATACCTGGAAACTTTAGAGACTTACCAATTGCCAGAAAGATATGCCAGGTCCATCGGGGTTGTAGACAAACCACCAGACGTAACCAAAGACGGTGGCAGCACCAACGTAGATGCCGACAACCATGTAGCGGAACAACAACCAGCCGCCAACAAGGGGCTCGTCGCGACGGCGGGGAGGGCGATTCATCACATCGTGGTCCGGAGGGTTGAAGGACAGAGCAGTGGCAGGCAGACCGTCGGTAACAAGGTTGACCCACAACAGTTGAACGGGAATCAGAGCCTCGGGCATTCCAAGGGCAGCAGTCAGGAAGATAGAGACGACCTCTCCAATGTTGGAAGAAATCAGGTAACGGATGAACTGTTGAGTGTTGCTGTAGATAGAACGACCTTCCTCGACAGCGACGGTGATGGTAGCGAAGTTGTCATCAGCCAAGACCATGTCAGAGGCCATCTTGGCCACATCGGTTCCGGTGCCCATGGCCACGCCAATGTCAGCCTTCTTGAGAGCGGGGGCGTCATTGACACCGTCACCAGTCATAGCGACGACGTGGTTCAAAGACTGGAGGAGATCAACAAGCCTGGACTTGTGGGTAGGCTCAGTGCGAGAGAAAAGGGAAGCGGCCTGAACGGCCTGCACCTGTTCACTTTCACTAAGAGCGTCGAATTCACGGCCCGTGTAGCTCTTGCCCGTGAGATCCTCGTCGGCGCCGAACACACCAATGGAGCGACAGATAGACTCGGCGGTATTGCGGTTATCACCGGTGATGACGATAACACGGATTCCGGCGGCGTGGCACTTCTTGATAGAATCGGCAACCTCAGGTCGAGGGGGGTCCAACATTCCGACAAGACCAATGAGAGTCATGTTCTGTTCTAGCTTGGTATAGTCCTCGGTGGTGGTGGCGTTCTTCAGGGGGGGGTTTCCAGAGACACCGTCAACACTTGCGATGGCCATGACACGGAGGCCACGGTTACCATACTCAACAACTTCCTCGGAAAGAAGCTTCAAGTGGTTCTGAGTCACAGGAACGCGAGATCCATTGGCGCCTTGAATAACGTGCGAGCAACGGTCCAGGATGCTTTCAGGGGCACCCTTGACCAGCAACTTTTGTGCCTCGCCTTCGCCAACGAGAACAGACATACTCTTGCGGTCACGGGAGAACTCATAGGTGGCCTTGATGGGAAGACGGGACTCGTAGTGAGCGCTGGCGGCATGCAATTTTTCGGATGTAGGGAGGCGACGAAGCTTTTGGTTCAAGGCGATGTCGGTGGATCCAATTTTCTCAACCAGAGTACGCAGGGCGCCTTCAGTGGGCTCACCGATGCTGGAGAAGACTCCGCTCTTGGCATCGTGGGAAAGAGTAGCGCCGTTGCAAAGGGCAGCAACCTCGGCCAGTTGTGCGACGGTCGATGAAGAAACGGCCAGGTTCTCGACAACATTGCCATTCTGGGTGAGCTTGCCCTCAGGAGTGAAAGTAGTGCCTTCGACGTCAATTTCCTCGAATCCAGTGCCAGAGCTGGTCAGGTAAACAACCTTCTCGACGCTCATCTGGTTAGTAGTCAAGGTTCCGGTCTTGTCAGAGCAAATCACGCTGCAGCTGCCAAGGGTCTCGACAGAGGGAAGAGACCGGACGACTGCGTTCTTTTGAGCCATCTTGCGGGTACCCAGAGCCAGACAGGTGGTAATGACCACTGCCAGACCCTCTGGGATAGCCGCCACACCAAGAGAGACAGCAATCTTCAGATAGTAGATAGCTCCCTTAGTCCAGCCACCGAACGCGGGGTCATTGAAGTTCTCATAGTTGATAACCCAAACCAGGACACAGATGATGGTAATAACCTTGGCGAGCATGTCACCGAAGTCGTTCAGCTTCTTTTTCAAGGGGGTCGGCTCGGAGATCTGGGAAGTGATGCTCTCGTGGATATCTCCAATGGCAGTCGAGCTACCGGTCAATACGACCAGAGCCGTAGCGTGGCCGTTGACAACGGTGGTACCAGAGAAAAGCATGTTGATCTGGTCCTGCTTGACGGCCTGCTCATCCTTAATAGCCCGGGTCTCCTTTGCAACACTTTCGCTCTCACCAGTCAGAATAGCCTGGTCGACGCGGAAGCTGTTGCTCTGAATGGCGAGCAGTCGGCAGTCGGCAGGAACACGGTCACCGACAGCAATTTGAATCACGTCTCCGGGAACCAGATCTTCGGCCTTGACCTTTCGCGTCATTCCATCGCGGATAACCTTGGCCTCGTTGGCGGAATATTCCTGGAGAGCTGAAATTGCCTTTTCGGCGCTACTTTCTTGGGTCACTCCGACAACAGCATTGAGGATGAGGATGGTAAGGATCTGTGAACAACAGCAAGCCTCGGTCAGCATAATAGAACACATGGGTATACAAATGCAACGCAGGATATCCAGGCACTTACAACAGCGGGGTCCACAAATGCGGTCCAATCGTCACTCTCTTCAAAGAGAGCTAGCACAAAAGACACGGCGGCCGAGCCAAGGAGGATAAGAACCAATTGGTCCTTGAATTGTTCCAAAATCAGTTCCCACATGGGAGTCGGGGGTTCTTCCGCAATAGCTAAATAAACGGCAGATGTCAGTTTTGGCCATGTCATCATTCTGCAGCGGGGTGGGTACTAACCGTTCGGTCCATACTGTTGTCTGGAATGGAAGACCGCGCTCTGCGACAGACCAGTCTGCTCCGATACCTTGAAGTGCTCCAGCAACTCTGCTGGAGTACGGAGAAAGGCGTTCTCCATGATCGCGACACCCTCAACGGCAATAGGCAGGATCAATTGCAATAGCCGCACTGGTGAGGAATAATAGTCGGGGTAAAGCAGGAAGAAAAAAAAATGGGTGCCTGTTTTTAAGATAGTTACATGCCCGGTGTAACACAGAGTCGGAAAAGAGAAGCAGCCCAAAGCGAGGGACAGGGTTATATTAAAAAAAAGAAGATCCAAAGCAAGCTTGGAAGAAATGAAGATCGACCGAATGGGGAACCTCCAGTGGGGGAAGTCAACGTGTTCTCATCCATTTGATTCCAGGCGCTGAGTAAGCATGGACCTACCTGCGTGGGGAGGGCGCCCCGGGGGTCTACAGGGCTGAAGGCGGGTCACTTGCAATTCTCCGCTTCGTTTTCTCTTCTTTCTCTTCTATCTTTCTTTGATTCTGTCTTGGATTGAGTATGAACGTATTGAAAGTACCTGATACTTCCGAGATTGACTATCTTTAGCATAATAAGTCTCACTATATCATGAATTGGAGCGAAAGCCTCTGGTAGGGCTCCAACGTCATGTCAATTCCCAGCTTGCCCTATGGGTCTCTAGGCTGCATCGTTTCTTGCCTATTAGATACATGTAGATTTTGTGGGTAACCTTTTATCTTGGCACCTTCCTAACAACATGAGTATGCAATCTTCTAAATCTTCTAATTCGACCTACTCGACTCCTCACTACTAGTGTGATATAGATAGACTTGTGCCATGACCACAGCTCTTGACCTATACTTGGTTATCCCCAGGGCTCCGGAGTATATGTACTGGATCCAACCTACTCGGCCCACTTATGGTTGGCAGGGCTGAGATCTTCAAGGCTAAAGCACAGTCCCTGCTAGATGGGTCAAGTGTGGCATCTTCATAAGCACGCTAACATACCCTTGCCTATAGGGCTGAAGCTAGAAACAAAAGTCCATATTGCATCACTTAGCTATAGATCATCTACTCAATGCCTTCATAATCGATTTATATCCTTACCTTGGCTTTGAAGTTGGCCAAATAGTCATTTCAAGCCACTTTTAGTAGCCACGAATAGAAGGGAAACGAAATCAGAAAGTCTCTTAAATTTTGCTATGCATTCGCCGATCAATTGTGATATGATTAATCTGATAATTCTAGTTGGTTAACCTTTCAAGTTTGGGAATAATCAAGCTGTGGAGGTAAGAATGCATACGGAGTACTCCGTACGTGAACAAGAAACCAAGCGCCTGAGTGCCTGGATGCCCTTTTACATGTCCATTATGTCTTTGTTCAAACCAGGTAAAAAATAATAGTAACAAATATAGTAAGAGAATAAAAATCCCTACCTTAGTTCCAACTCGCTTGACCGCAAGTTATCACATGCTCATTGAGGATCCTTAAGACAGTATGTTAGTAAGGTGTTCATTGGGGAGAAATTTAACAAATTTCCGAATAAAAGCGATTGCTAACAATATATTTCACTAGAATAACACTAGAATACTTGTGATACAAGACCTAATCTGAGTGTGTGGCCGATCAACTACATCATAACCGACCCTATTGTCTGGAAGGTTCTAAGAGATTTGCATCATTATCATCCCCAGACTCTTGCAATGTCACTGTGCTTTCACTAAAATGGAAATAAAGTGGTCTCTACCTCAGTACCTCCAGGGCTAGAATGGTGTCAGTTAGGTATCGGTCGGAGTCCCTATGACAAGGTAGTATGACTCCATAGATACACAAAGGGGTGTCTAGGTACGAATCAGCTAGAATCAAGCCATATATCATACTAGTCCAGTCTCCCGATGTCCTGAAAAGGAGAGTCCTAGTCTAATATTAGCAGTAATAAATACGGTCATTTATACCCCACCCCGCTCAAATGAATTCCTTGTTAGGGGGATCGACGGTAAAATAAATACTGGGCCGCGGCCCAAGTACCGTAGTACTTCCACAGAGCGGTGCCACAATAGGGGGAAGCAGGTACCGGGTACAAGAGGACATCGTATTATTGTTATGATCCAAATCCCCCCAACTCACTTCACATCATCTCTCCCCCACTTGGTCGTCTCTACCCATCTTCTTCTCCTGCATCTCGCGTCTCCTACTCCTTTATTTTAAGTCTCAAGTTCTAACCACCTCGATTCAATTTCACAATGGGTTCTGAGGTACGTGGCTGTCCCCTTCTATCGGCTGTCTCGAGTTGTCACCGCCATCGCAATCCCACATTCCCATCCTCATCTGAGCTCACCCCCATCTGGAATTTTTGTTGATAAGAACCGGGCTAACAAGTATCGTAACTATGCAGCGTGAGAAGTATGCCCATCGTCGCCCCTATTTCTGAAACCTCGTGGCATGACTGACCCCCTCACCAGCAAGACGTTCCTCGCGCGGCTCTGCGAGCAGGCCGAGCGCTACGATGGTAAGTTGACATGCGATGGTTTGGCTGGATGGATATGCTGACGTGTCGCTTCTTGCTTGACAGAAATGGTCACCTTCATGAAGGTTAGTCGCACCCTCTCGTGTTGTTTACTGAGTATCCATGCTAATCGCTGAATAGGAAGTCGCCAACGTATGACACCATCATTTTCCCATCACTTTTGGGACCACTTTGAAGGTATTCGAAATTGACACATTTCTAGATTGGTGGCGAGCTCACTGTCGATGAGCGTAACCTGCTTTCCGTTGCCTACAAGAACGTGGTCGGTACCCGCCGTGCCTCCTGGCGCATCATTTCCTCCATCGAGCAGAAGGAGGAAAACAAGGGCTCCGAGGAGCACGTCGGCATCATCCGCGATTACCGCCAGAAGATTGAAACCGAGCTGGAGCAGGTGTGCCAGGATGTGCTTGATGTTCTTGATGAGGCTCTCATCCCCAAGGCCGAGACTGGAGAGTCCAAGGTCTTCTACTACAAGATGTACGTTACACTCCAACGAACTTTCCTTTGGAGTCTTCTCGGTCTGTGACATTTTGCTGACTTTGTAAACAGGAAGGGTGATTACCACCGCTACCTCGCCGAGTTCGCTTCCGGCCCCAAGCGCAAGGGTGCCGCCACCGCTGCCCACGAGGCCTACAAGGTAAGTAATTCTCATTTCGGCTTATTGTCATAGGCCTTCTCTCTTTGCAATGAACAGTTGTTGATCGTGTCATAGAACGCCACCGACGTTGCCCAGACCGAACTCACTCCCACTCACCCTATCCGCCTGGGTCTTGCCCTGAACTTCTCCGTTTTCTACTACGAGATCCTCAACTCGCCTGATCGTGCTTGCCACCTCGCCAAGCAGGCATTCGACGATGCCATTGCAGAGCTCGACTCGCTCTCCGAGGAAAGCTACCGCGATAGCACTTTGATCATGCAGCTGCTGCGCGACAACCTGACCCTCTGGACCTCATCTGAGGGCACCGAGGCCGAGAGTGCCGCCAAGGAAGAGAAGTCCGAGGAGGAGACCGCTGCTCCTGCTGTTGCTGCCACCGAGGCCGCTGCTCCCGCCGAGGAGAAGCCCGAGGAGGCTAAGCCCGTCGAGACTGAAGCCTAAAGGAACATTAGGGGTCGCGACGAGCCGTATGCCGTTTGGTAGGGTGGGCGTTCGCATTTATTCCTGGACGTGGTTATGCAAGTCGCTTCTTTGTTTTCACTGCAGCGCTGGGTTGGACCGGCAGATATCTTGCACGTCTTCGGGACCGTGTGGGTCGGCCGGCGGAGTTTGATATTCGGTTGACGCGAGCGGAAAAGGGGCTGAGTGGAAATTTCTCTCTCTTTTATTGTCTCTATTCCCACTCCAGCACGTTTCAATGTGTTTATTTTCCATTCCACCCGAGCTTCTTTACTTGACATGCACCCTGTGTTAGGTTGCTTGCGTAGCCAATGATTCCCCTTTTACCAATATTCATGACTGAAGTATGAGCCGATACAGTAAACCTAGTTATTCCTTTATTCCTTTCACTCGACTCGCTTGTTGATTAGTCCTAAAGGCTTGACGAACACTGCAAGATATCTACAGATGAGCATGTGCATTAATGCTTCGAAGTTAACCAAATTCCCACTGTCTTCCCCTATATTGCTTACCCAAAGCTACCATCATCCTCAGACACATCTGAGGCTCATCTCTAGGAAAATACCGGCACGCCCTCACCTCCAAAGCAAAGACACCGGCACGTCCGACAATTCCAACAGCCAAAAAGCGCCACAGAAGACGCCATCCCATCAAGCACCGAAGACGCAGAACCAACACCATCGGGGACCAACATCCCTCGAACGATTCGTCGGAGCCAAGAGCCGGACAGCAACATCACCGGGCCCAATGCGGCTCTAACAATCCCCAACCCGCTATCTCCCATCCTCGAAGTGAACTCAACCGAAACACACGTCTTCCCACCAACGAAGAGCAGCCAATCGAAACCGGACGTGTTGAGCGCCACGGGAGGGGTCCGGGCACTTGCTTGAATATGACAGCTGGGCAGGCGGGCATCACATTGCATGCAATGCATACTGCAATCGTGGTGTGGTGACAGGAGAGCGGGGGAATGCCACGAGGGCGAAACGGCGGTGTTGGCGAATTGTGGCTGGAGGGGTTGGGGATGCGATTGGTTTTGTTGGTTGATCCCTGCGTGTGTGTTATCTTACTCTCTTTGTGGTATAGGTGGACTGGCGAAGTTTGTTTCACTTAAGGATTGCATACTCGCTAGGTTTTGTGCCTGGAGCGAGTCAGATGGGTGTTATAGGGAGTATGTGTTTTTTTAGATGTTCTAAGTATATGGTACAATGTCGATTGATATAGATCGAATTCATCATGGAGCCTTTATTCAATGCGGTATTATATCAACCCCTGACGATTCACCCGATAGTATCCTGGTAGTATCAGACTCATGCACTATAATTCACATTCGCTCCCTTGGATTCCGACTCGTCCAGCAAACCGTCGGCCCTGGATTTGAGATATATGGATAGAGACAGGACAAACATATTCATACGAGCCGTAGAGGTGGGGAGAAGTAAGCCCGGATGTATAATGCTTGCGTCCGGTATCGAATCAATTGAGGAGTTTACGTTTAGGATTGCCGCGCGTCAAACCACTCGACAGAACGTGTTGGGTCACTTGACAGTGATTTTGACTTGTGTTGGTCCCAGAGCCTCATATCAGGGCTCGTAGCGGTCCTATTTGTTTGCTTGGTTCTTGGCAACAGCTGGGATGAATGCAAGCTCTTCTTGTCGATCTTTTCTACCGACCTGTTTCTAATGAAACCGATTGAAGATGAGCAGAAAGTCTGAAGCCTACGATGACGGTAAATAGTTTCAATTATATTATAATAGATAGTTAGGTGAAGATGTAACTTGAAGAGACCTGACAGGTATAATTCTGGTGAATGAAACTGAGTATGTAGTCGCTGTACATACCAGGATTTCTCAAAGATCTCCTGTATCATCTTCCATAAGTAGACACTGACACATGACCAAGCCAGCAAATCCTAGTTCATTGCACTTGCATACATATGTATGTAGTATGCACAGCTACATCACATCACCCCAGTTATACGGACCCTATCATGCAAGTAGAGATTGGGCAGATGCATAAGGATTGGAATCTCGTCTAGAGAATCTTTCTCGATTGCCCCCGGCATGCATCCGACTCCATGCCATCGGGATATTCCAAAGATCCGCGGGATGTATGAGGTAAAAACAATGCATATAGTCAATTCCATATTCCCGCAACGGGTTATATAAATTAACGCCGAGGACACTGAAACTACACCAAAACTCCATCTTAAGAAGTCTTTTGTAACATCTACCAAAAAGAACAATCCAATCCACTACAATAACCAAAAGTCCCAAACAATGTCACTCCCACAACCCCTCCCCCTCGAACCAAATGCCCTCTACATCCTCCTCCTCGACCTAGGCGGCAGCTGCCTCTTCGAATGGAGACTATACCTCGCGTCAACGCACACAACCGGCCAAACCTTCCACATAACCAACGAGACAGGCCCAGTAAACTGGCAATACAAAAGCGAAGCCGTGTACAACATAGCAAGCGACATGCGGGTGGTGCTAGCGCTGCAAATTGGCGTCGTCGGGCCCGTGCTGCACGCCGCGCTGGGGTCACGTCTGGCACTCGTCCCGCTGACGCTGTACTCGGCTCGGTTCCGGGAGGGGCTTTCTTGCCGCGTGTGGGTCCAGGAGGCGCTTTTTGCGTTGGATGATGAGGGATATCTGGATCTTACCAGGAGTGTTGTGGATATCGAGCAGGAGGCTAGACAGCTTGGGATGCTGAATAAAAGTCGGGGGTCTAGGTCGGTGGTTAGGAGTAGGGGGTTTGTGGGTTGATTTTATAACTGTTATGGGTGGTTATTAGCTGTGGCGGTTGTGATGATGTATGAAGTTATATAATAATCGGAATGGATTGGGTCTTTCTATGGGTTACTTGTGCCCAAACATTTGAGACAGAAGGGGATGTACAGAGCGAGGTTGGGAAAAAGTAGGAGAAAAAAATAGAAGGGGTAACATTGGACCCAGCAGAAATAACCTGCATATAGGTGAGGCAGAAATAGAAGATGTAGGTCTTCCTTTTAAGGTGCGTATTTTCAAAGGATGAGGGGGGAAAAGCGAAACAATTCAAATGGAGACTGGTCGTCCGTATTCACATTCACATAAAGTCATCATCCCCAAGATCATCACCACCCTCGTAGTTGGTGTGATCGACCTGGCTGTCGCGGCTGGCGTTCAGCGAGATCTTGGTCTTTGCCGCCTTGGACTTCTTATTGCCCTTGTCAGAAGCACGCTCCTCGCGCATCTTCTCGTTGGAAGCAGTAGTGAGAGCACTAGCAATCTTCTTGATCTCAGCACTAGGCAAATCCTTCACAAGCTTACGGGTGAAGTCCTGCGCCCAGAGAGAGTAGTGGGGCTTCTTGGAGTGCAGGGTGAGGAGCGGCACGAGGGTATCACTCAGACGGGCGAACTGGTCCTTGGTGACGGGCTTGAAAAGCGGCATGGCAGACAGATCGATGGCCTTGGTAGGATCGGTTGAGTCGCTGACAACGACGGCCTTGGGGGCGCCCTTGTTGCGCTTGAGATCAACAGTGCCGAAAAGATCTTCGGCGTGGGCAAGATCGGCTTCCTGCTCGGTCGCGCGCAGACGAGCGCGGCGGTCTGCCTCGTCCTCACTCTCAGATTCGCCGCTGCCCTGTTCCCGTAGGCGCTGTAGCCGGAGTTCCTCTATCCGCTGGGCTTTGCTCTTCTTGTTGGCGGCGGCGACGGCCTTGGCCTTGGCTTCGGCTTCGGCGGCCTTCTTGGCCTTCTCGCGCTCTACCTCGGAATCTTCGGCGGCATCCCATGAGTCAAGAACCTATATTCGGGGGTTGTTAGTTTGTTGTTTCTTGGCGCGAAGTGAGGGGCCTGCTGGACAGGTTCGAGGTTGCGTTGCCTTACATCTTCTTCCTCTTCGTCATCGAAACGGCGGCGAGGCGCGGCAACAACAGGAGGAGGCGCGGAGCTCTCCTCTTCTTCTTCATCTGCGTGAGATCAAAAAGATTAGCAACAGCAACATGAATCAAAACACGAGCTAAGTAATTGTGGCAATCGCTATAGAAGGATAATACAAGGATAATAACGTACCCCACTTGGAAGGCGGCATTTTGAGCAATCTAAAGACTCGTTGATACGAAAGAAATGAAGGAACGTAATGCGCTACACGCAAGGCCAAAAGGAACAAGCCAACAATAGGACCCAGCAATGGAGGGGCGAGGGCAAATTTTATGTGGGACACACTTATCGTCCCCAGGTGGGATGTTCACGTGATCTCGGGCATTGGATGCCCGATGAGCATGATCTTTGTTCATATCCCATACATATAGGCTGTTCATTTACTTATTTCTAACTTATCAAGTGATGGAAATTTGTTTTCATTGAAAAAGATCCTATTAAATTCATAATCATCATGGGCGATGGCTCCGTAGATCGTCCAACCATCGTTTTTGATGGGCCCTCATCAGGCCCGATCTATGCTGCCGAAAGGCGGCATTTACAGGTTGACGGCAGTGCGGAACTTCTCGCCAGCGTAGATAGCGTTGGCACCAAGCTCCTCCTCAATGCGGAGGATCTGGTTGAGCTTGGCAAGACGCTCGGAACGGGCAGGGGCACCGGTCTTGATCTGACCAGCGCGGAGGCCAACAGCGATGTCAGCAATGGTGACATCCTCGGTCTCACCGGAGCGGTGGGAGACCATGACACCCCAGCCGTCGGCGTAGGAGTCCTTGGCAGCCTGGATAGACTCGGTCAAGGTACCAATCTGGTTGACCTTCAGGAGAAGGGCGTTGCAGGACTTGAGCTCAATGGCCTTCTTGATGCGCAGAGGATTGGTGACAGTCAAGTCATCACCGACAATCTGGAAGTCAGAGGTCTTGTAGAAGTAGCTCCAGGCCTCCCAGTCGTCCTCAGCGAAGGGGTCCTCGATGGAGACAATGGGGTACTTGGCAGCGAGCGACTTGTAGAGGTCGGCAAGCTGCTCGTAGGTGAGCCACTTGGTGGGGTCGCTCTCGGGGTTCTTGAAGTCAAGATCGTACTTCTTCTCGTCCACCTTGTAGAACTCGCTGGAGGCAACATCCATGGCAATCTTGATCTGGCCAGTGTAACCAGCCTGCTCAATGGCCTCGGTGATGAGGTCCAGAGCCTCCTCGGCAGTCTGAATATCGGGAGCGACACCACCCTCGTCACCGACGTTACCGGCAGACTGACCGTACTTCTTCTTGGCGAGATCCTTGAGCTTGTGGTAAACCTCGGTACCCTGGCGGAGACCCTCGGAGAAAGTGGGAGCGGTACTGTATTTGGTCAGTTTATAGTTGCAATGAATTCAAGGCTGGAAGACCTACTCGGGCACAATCATGAACTCCTGGAAGGCGAGACGGCCACCGGCGTGGGAGCCACCGTTCAGGACGTTCTGGAAGGGAACGGGGAGGACGTAGGGCTTCTTGGTTCCGGCAAGGTCGGAGATGTGAGCGTAGAGGGGGACACCCTTCTCAGCGGCACCAGCCTTGGCAACAGCCAGGGAGACACCGAGGATGGCGTTGGCACCGAGCTTGCCCTTGTTAGGGGTTCCATCGAGCTTGTTCAGGAACTCGTCGACCTTGGCCTGGTCCTTCACATCGATGTTCTCCTTGATGAGGGCGGGGCCAATGATGTCGTTGACGTTCTTGACGGCCTTGAGGACACCTAATTTGAGATGAGGATATCAGTTTCTGATCACTTTGAATGTGTCAACCGGGTTCATTCACTTACCCTTACCACCCCACTTGGTCTTGTCACCATCGCGGAGCTCAACGGCCTCGTGCTGGCCTAGAAGTGAATGTTAGCATTGTAGTTCTTTTTCCCTTTTCGGTATCTAGACGTCAAGGACAACATACCAGTGGAAGCACCGGAGGGAACAATGGCGCGGTGAAGGCCGGTCTCGGTGACAACATCCACCTCAACGGTGGGGTTGCCGCGCGAGTCGTACACGGAGCGAGCGTGGATCTTAGAGATAGGCATGTTGTAATTGGACAGGCTGATGATAGATTCAGTCAGTTGTAAGAAAAGAGAAAAGGCAGATATGGGCAGATATATGGCAAAAGCTGCAGGTGACTAACGGCGGGGGAAGTTCACCGATGACCCAAAAAGATTGGGCGGGAGAGGTGAGAAGGATATGATTTGCTTGGAGAGAGCTCAACGAGGGGCAAGTTCCTACTACGATCACCGGGAGGCCTTTGGTTGGGTTTCTGTTCCTTTCCAGAAGACTTGGGAGGGTTGTAGCAGGTCGTTGGAGGGGGATATGTGTACTTTGGAGGGGTAGATGATGGTGTTATGGTGGGGTATATGATGTTATGGTGGTTATGATGTGATGATGCTATATTCAGATACTCACCTGTTAAATCAGAACAACTTGATAAATAAAAGGAGACCTCCTACGGGCACACCCGACTACTTAAATACTTTCCCCCAGAGAAACCCCGGGAAAGCTCATTGCTGCTCCGATTCTTTCCAATGCAACAGTGGGGCTCCACGGCCGTTCTCCAGTACTCGCTGGCTGGTCTGACCTTATGCGGCCTCCTTAGCTACGAGATCTCCCGTCCCTCGGAAGATATTAGACTATGATGGCATCCCGTTCTCCCGATTGCCTTCCTTGTTATAGGACGTGCACATCGTACGGCATACCCCTCTACCCCTCTATTGCGCATTAGTCTAACTGTAGGATTGTTTACTGTTGTCTAGACCGATGTTACCTTTAGGCTACGTGGTTCGAAACAGAAAGTGGTCATCTTACGTAGCATTCATTCGTGTTCATTCGCATTCATTCGCCTTCCTTCCAAGGTTCCACTCTGACTCTGGCGAACCTTGGAAGACAGCAGTTGACGCCTGATTGCTAAGGCCAAGCTATCTCGGACCGAGTTCCGGGCTAATGATCTTCCTTTCCGGGCAGTTTCCATTATCAATCCATAACCAGGAGGGAAAAGAGAAGTCGTCATGATCTTGAGAGTTACAGGTTATAACAGCCTGTTATACCAGATTTCTATTTTGTAGGAATCCTGCGAAACTGTTTCCCGCCGATTGATATATATATTTCAAAGAACAAATGTATGCGAGAGCGAGAGGTGAGGCATCAAGGTACCCAAGCATTTGGGCAACATAATGATCAATTGGAATATACCCAATATTTAGATGAAGAGCCATCTCAATAGTAATCAAGAGGACTGGCTGGAAAGTATAAAGGAAAAACCACAAGATATAGGCAATGCATAGAGACCAAAGGGAGAAGAGAAGGCCCAAAAGAACTAAAGTAGAGGTCAAACAGATGTAGGTTGAATAAATAGTGAATCCAATTCCAAGATTATCATCACCACACTATCAAGTCTTATTTCATACAAGAATACGGAGTATCTTGGATTCAACTTGTCAAACTCATTGCCTTGCACTCAAGGCACGGCACTGTTCCAAAGTTTCTGCCTTAGGTGTCTAGTATGACATAAGACAACTCCGAGGTCATGTGATCATCTCAATGGACGCCGCGCTGGAAGCTGGAAGCTCCCCAGGCAAGGTGCTATCTTCCTAATCACGATATCCATCCATTTCGCATCGACCTTATACGAAACCCTGGATTCATACTTGAATTACAGTTTTTCTTTGGCTACCATCCCAACTCGTCCACACTCGGTGAATCTATCGTTCGTCCGTCCTTAATCATGAGCGACCCGGAGCGCGGCCAGGCGCTCGAGGAATATAAAAAGAGCTTGCTCGAGCTACGAGAATGGGAGGCCAAATTGAAAACCCTTCGCTTGGGTATCAAGGATCTTCAAAGAGAGTTTGATGTCTCCGAGGATAACATCAAGGCACTACAAAGTGTTGGTCAGATCATCGGCGAGGTGCTGAAACAGCTCGACGAAGAGCGATGTAAGTATCCAAGGCTCAAGATATTCGTTTCAATGATCGCATTAAGAAGCTAATCCGCTGTACAGTCATCGTCAAGGCGTCCTCGGGTCCTCGATATGTGGTCGGTTGTCGTTCAAAGGTGGATAAGTCCAAGATGAAGCAAGGCACACGTGTGGCCTTGGATATGACAACACTCACCATCATGCGGATGCTGCCTCGTGAAGTTGATCCCATGGTGTACAGCATGTCTTTGGAAGATCCAGGGTCCGTCAGCTTCGCGGGTATCGGTGGTCTGAACGACCAGATCAGAGAGCTCCGTGAGGTCATCGAACTACCTCTGAAGAATCCAGAACTCTTCATCAGAGTTGGAATTAAGCCCCCGAAGGGTGTTCTCCTCTACGGTCCTCCGGGTACTGGTAAGACGCTGCTTGCACGAGCAGTGGCCAGCTCGATAGAGACCAACTTCTTGAAGGGTATGTTCAACTTCGTATCGCATTTACAGCTGCAATTTTCTGACTGGTCTACTCTCCTTAGTTGTATCCTCGGCTATCGTGGACAAATATATCGGTGAATCCGCTCGACTGATCCGAGAGATGTTCGGATACGCCAAGGAACACGAGCCCTGCATTATTTTCATGGACGAAATCGATGCCATTGGTGGACGACGATTCTCAGAGGGCACATCAGCAGATCGAGAAATTCAGCGGACGCTCATGGAGTTACTGAACCAGCTGGACGGTTTCGACTACCTAGGAAAGACAAAGATCATCATGGCCACCAACCGACCCGATACACTGGACCCTGCTCTGTTGCGTGCCGGTCGTCTGGACCGCAAGATCGAGATTCCTCTCCCCAATGAGGTTGGCCGTCTGGAGATCTTGAAGATCCACACAAGCACAGTCCAACAGGAAGGAGATATCGACTTTGAGAGTGTGGTCAAGATGAGCGATGGTCTTAACGGTGCTGATCTCCGAAACGTGGTTACTGAAGCGTGAGTGACAAATCTTCTTTCGTAATATGCGTGTACTCGTTGGCTAACTCTTTATCAGTGGTCTGTTCGCGATCAAGGATTACCGTGACGCTATCAACCAGGATGACATGAACAAGGCTGTACGGAAGGTGGCCGAGGCGAAGAAGCTGGAGGGCAAGCTTGAGTATCAGAAGCTGTAATTGTATCTACCTTGCGGGGCTGGTGGCCCACATCATCTGGTGCACGGTTTAGATCTTTGTCTTGAAGCGCTAATGCTATGCATTCGACCTATTCTTCTATTGTTGATTCAAGTACTCCGTAGATCAGGGGACCTTGGGAACAACAACTTGCCTAAGTAACAGTTAAAAAAGTAGCTACTTCAAGGAATCAATGAAGGACCTTGGGTTCGATTGGTAACTAGCTCGATGCCCTGTTCATTTATGTACTCATTATATAGCTATGAGGCTGGTTACGCGTACAATGCGATGTGATTTGCGGACCCCTAGTGTTGCCTCTCCACTTCCCCAGCTTCCTTCAACCTGCCCTTGCCACGTTCTCGGTTTTCGCGCCAATTTAGTCTCGAATTAGATTGAATGCTCGTTGCGACACTTGGCGTTTATCTACCTTAGCATTACCCAGGACACGCGGGATAAACTCCGCGCTCCGCATCTCCGCAGAGAAATTCTTTACGGACAACGAAACCACCAAACAAAACTGTATCGGTGCATGTTGGCTTTTGTTTAGAACCGAGAGACCAGATTGTCTTTGCGATCGACACTTGTTCATTACAATCGCGCCGGAAAGGGTTGTACTCCGGTAAGGGTGCAGGTCTGGCCCGAGGGGTTAGCTCCTCGTCCCCCAGGGTTAGGATCAAACCTGACTAACTGTTGCAAGATACGCGTGTATGAACCTTGAATTAGAATCTCAATCAACACCAGACAAGGCGAATCCTCCGATAGCACCTCTACCTCCTCCTGCTCACTCCCATGTTGCGCATTCGGTAACCGCAAGACCGGCAGACAAGAGACCAGATCGAAGAGAACAATGGCCTACCAGCCATCGCGCAGTCCCTTCGCGCCCGCGCAACAAGACGGCTTTTACGGAAACCCTCGTAGCGGGCTCCGCGGATACGGGCTGTCGAACCAGCCTATCCCCCTGTCCAATAAAGTGAACGGCTACTTCGAAAAGGACCGCACACTACCTTTATACAAAGATAAGCCGTTCTTTGCGCCGCGGCGCACAGGTCCGCGGAGGAGATGGAAGCCGTTCCTGAACGTGCTGGGAGTGTGTACAGTCTTATTCTTGTTGTATTATAACTTCTACCTTCGCACGTGGTCAGGGCTACAGTCAAATGACAAGGGGGCCGAATTATGGAAATGGGCCCAGACATTAGAGGACGGGAAATCTTCTGGGGACTTGTCTGACTGGACCGCAAGACGAGAGAAAGTGCGGGACGCCTTCATCGTCAGTTGGGAAGGATATGAGAAGAACGCATGGGGTAAGTCATACAGTATCCTTGTGTACTATGATAGCAGCTGACACCATTATCCAGGTTACGATCAGTATCGCCCAGTATCGAACGTTAACCAGGCAGACACGAGCGGCGGGCTAGGCTGGATGATAATTGACTCGCTGGACACATTGATGATCATGAATCTGACCTCCAAGGTCCACCGCGCGCGGCAATGGATCTCAACATCGTTGAATTATGATCAGGACCGTGATGTTAATACGTTCGAGACGACTATCCGCATGCTGGGTGGTTTGCTGTCTGCGCACTATCTGTCAACCCAATATCCCGATTTGGCACCCCTCAATGACGATGATGTCGGTGCTGCCGGCGAAGACTTGTATATTGAGAAAGCAGCTGATCTCGCTGAGCGGCTAATCGGGGCTTTTGAGTCTCCAAGCGGTATCCCATGGTCGAATGTCAATCTCAACACGTCAGAAGGTGTTGTCGTGCATTTCGACGAGGGGGCTACGTCTATTGCCGAGGCTGGTTCAGTACAACTTGAATTCAAGTACCTGGCCAAGCTGACCGGCGAGGCCGAATATTGGAAATTGGTTGAGAGAACGATGAAGCTGGTTGACCTACAAAAGCCACAGGACGGCCTTGTCCGAACCGCCATCCATCCTGACAGCGGTGCATTCAAAGGAGACAGCATTAGTCTGGGTAGTAAAACTGATTCTTACTACGGTATGTTGATAGTACTCGGTGCCCGTAGTTCTTTTAAGCTGACTCGCTCTAGAATATCTCATCAAGCAATACCTGCAGACCTCAGAACAGGAGCCCATCTACAAAGAAATGTGGGATGAGGCATTGAGGGGCATCCGCAAGCACCTAGTCTCATTCACCAAGAACGCCCAGCTGATGATTATCGGCGAACGGCCCCAGGGCCTAGACCAGGACCTATTACCCAGAATGGACCACCTAGTCTGCTTCATGCCCGGCACAATCGCACTCGGTGCGACAGGTGGCCAGCCTTTATCCCAAGCCCGAAAGTCAGCGGATTGGACTCAGCAGCGCGAGGACGAGATCCTCATGTCCAGGGAATTAATGAAGACCTGCTGGGCAATGCACCAGGCAACGGCAACCGGCCTCGCAGCCGAGATCTCCCACTTCGTCTTAGACTCGCCACCTGTGATGATGGCAGACAAGTACCCCGATCCAGTGGCAAACCCCAACCACGCATCCAAGCCCGAGATACTGCGCGGCATTTCCCAGCCACTAGAGGCGCAAAGCGATGGGTCCGAGCCCTGGCGTGCGGACATCGACATCCGCCGCAACGACCGACACAATCTACAACGCCCGGAAACAGTCGAGTCCCTTTTCTATCTCTACCGTATCACTGGCGACGACATCTACCGCCAATGGGGCTGGGAGATCTTCAAATCTTTCATCAAACACACAGCTGTGGTTGAAAAGAAAAGTACCTCCTCGCGTATTCCTACATCAACTAACACAGCACCTGTTTTCCGTATTAAGGGCTTCACGTCGCTTGGAAACGTGGATGCAGTCCCTTCATACAAGCGCGATAACATGGAGAGCTATTGGATGGCTGAGACGCTCAAGTATTTCTACTTGTTGTTCTCGGATCGGGATTTCATCTCACTGGAGGATCACGTTTTCAATACTGAGGCGCATCCATTCCCGCGGTTTAAGCCTAGTGGGGATCTAAAGACGGGGTGGGAGAGAGCGCCTAGAAAGTAGATTTCGTGGGCGCTTTGTTCTAATGGAGCCTTGGTTGGCTATGCTTTGATGTCTCTTATATGTTTTGTATAGCGCCTTTTTCCGTGCTTTTCCTTTGCCATCTGGGGAAACCTAGATTTGTATACCAACATTCTGTACATGGCCGATGTTACTTTCAGAAAGCAATACTCTTTGTTCACATATAGCATTTTATATGTAAGGTAAAGCCACCTCTATGCTCTGTTGGGGCTTGGGATAACCCAAAGGCAGGACCTAGTAGCCGAAATTATGTACACATAGCTCCAGATACCACACCCCTATCAGATGATATACAACTAGAAATCAATCATACAACCACCTCACCCTTAGCCTCTCTCTCCAGCGCAGCCTCAATCAACTTTTTATAACCAACCACAGCCTCCTTAATCTGGCGGACAGTCAAGGCCTCATTATCACCATGAGCAACAAAGATACTTCCAGGCCCATACAAGTAGCGCTTGACACCAGGGCCGACAGCCAGATTCGGCACATCAGTACCGTAGTTAACAGTCGTAACATCAAATCCATCAACATCAACATCCAAATCCTGCGGCGGGTAAGACTCGCCATGCGAAACAAAGTCCACAACAACCTCCGCCTCGAAACCCCGAACCGCCTCCTCAACAGCGCGCTGGATAATCGCACCCGCCTCAGCAGGCGTGCCAGCGGCAAGTCTCACAGCAACATCCGCCCACGCCTCAGAAGGAACGACATTCGTCGCGACGCCAGCACGGATAACGCCAATATTCAGCGTCGTCGGCCCGTACTTCGGGGAGGCAGGCAAGCCGCCTTCTTCGGTGGGGATATCGCCGAGCACGTCGACGCGCGAGAGCGCAGGCAGAATCGCCGACACGGCGCTCTTGCCCAGCCACGGGTATCCTGAGTGGGCGGCGCTGCCGTGCGCAAGGACCTTGAAGCCGAGCATGCCCTTGTGGCCGGCAACGAGGGCTGCCTCGGTTGGCTCGCCGAAGATGATGGTGTTGATGGCGCTTTTCGCGTTGAGAGTTGAGTCCGAAAAGAGTTTCATGCCATCGCCGCCGATTTCTTCGCCGACGACGAAGAGAAGGCCGAGCTTGGCGTCTGGTTGTGAGTCTAGGGTTTCGAGGGTTGCGAAGATTTGGGCTGCGACGCTGCCCTTTGCGTCGACGGAGCCGCGGCCTGCTATGATGAGGTTCTCTGGGTCGAAGGTGGTGGAGTCGGAGATGGGCTGGTGCACGGAGTATGGGATGAAGGGTGGGACTGTGTCGATGTGGCTTGTGAGGAGGATTGATGGGGGTTGTGTGTAGGATTTAGGAACAGCGTAGATGTTGTAGCGCGTCTTGGTTTTCTCTTGGTCCTTCACTGGGGGCACCTCTTGCTTCACCACGGTGAAGTTCCGGGCCTCCAGGAACTGCGCGACGAAGAGACCGACATCGTGCTCGTTACCGGAGAGTGACTCGATCTCGACCAGGTCTCGGTGGAACGACAGTAGAGGTGAACTGCTGATTATATCATCTAGGCCTGCTTGGCTGTAGCTGGGCTGGGAGGAGGATGGCACGCCCAGGAGTTGTTGCTGAAGTGCGGGGTGCGGAGAAGCCTGGACGCCGGAAATGATGGCCGCAGCCGCGAGATATGAAGAGAGCTTCATTGGAGGATTGGGGTACAAATGTGTTCCAATTGTTAATTTGCTGTGTCCAAAGCAATTGAATAGCCTCTACGCCCTGGAGGTCGAGTGTTTTGCGAAGCTTGTAGATCGGAGATCCGAGGTCGGCCCCGATGTATACGGTCACGTGGGTAGATAAACATATCGACGGGTTCGTCCTATTGGCCACATATTATCAGGTCTGCGGTGCTCGTTATTGCGTGATGGATTCGATGCCAGATACAATGCCAGATACAATGCCAGATGCCTTCATTCACGTCTATTTCATTCGGCAAATTCCTAACCCGACAACATAATCATATGTATAGCTCGTATTCGTTAAGCGAGCTGGCCCACCCAAACGCGCCGATTAATTCAAGTCCCGAAGCTCTACAAATTTAGCAGAACACCGAGTGGATATTATTGGATATTATTGGCTGTC